ACGCGCACTCTTTTTTTATTTATCAGTGTACACAAATAGGTACAAATAACAAAATTACATTAACAGGTAGTCGTACAAAGTATTTATTCAACTTTTCATTTGTTGTTTTTGGGTAAATTTCAAACTTTCGTTTTTCCTTTCTCTATAAAAAACAAAAGTGCGAGTTTTAAATCAATTACTTCAATATTCGATAATGGCTCGTGGGAATTATAAATAATTATTTTCTCCATCATTATATGCCGTGGTAAAGTTTTGATAGTGTCACTCGGATATCCATTATTTATTTAAAACTTTCATGTTCGAGTACATCAGAGTGTGGCTTTAAAGCATAACTTTAACTTTTACAACCTGCCGCATTACAGTTATTTCCTCGCACACGAAATGGAAAATATTTTCCGCAAACATTAATGTGACAAATGCAATGTTGCACAATATAATAACCAAAACAGTGCGAGAATAAAATTATGCCATAATTCCACGCTTTTGTGTCAAAGTTTTAAAATTGAATCTGACCGGGTAGAATAAATTAATGTGCTGCATAGAGTAAAAAATAGAGTAATGTAAAAGACCATCTTGTTTATTAAACTAATTTGTCATTTTGTAATTTTTTTCTGATGGTATTACTATAGTTATCTATAGAATATAAGACTCATAAAGTGGCTGGCGAACTTTTAATGGAACTGGCCATTTAAGCACTTTAGTATATTTCTTTCAAAGGATTTTTTGAAATCGACTAATTTTGAAAATTTAACAAATCTAAATTTATAGTTTGAAGAATAGTTTTAATTCTAGAAAACTTAGGCCAATTGTGTTTATTATTTTTGGCTGGTGTCATAGAAATGTAATTCACGGTTACAGTTTTAGAATTTAAACGAGCAAAATTCAATAAAAATCTACCACAAGAACAGAGAATTTGTCAAATTTTGAGCGTAGATGTAGGTTTTAGTTAAAAAAAAGCTCTTAATTTTCAAATTGCATGATGAAAAAAAATTTCCGTTGGGTAAGTTGTAGTATATCGCAAAAAATCGAAAATGAAAATGTTTACATATTTTTACGTTTCAGAGGTTTCTGAATGTTTTAGCATACCTTAGAAAAAATTGATATGTGTGTATCTATGTGCAGATATAAATTTTTGTTGACGATTTCGTGAGCACGGATCAACCGATGTGAATGATTAAAAAAACATTCGATTCCTATTAAAGGGGAGACATGCTGAAAGTGGCAATAATAAAAAATGGCAATTCGGTTTATCACAAAAAACGCAATGTCGATTTGAATGATTCATAAAATATTTCACTTGTATTGATGCATTGATGGGATAAATAATTTATTAAATTTTTAGTAAGGCAGATGCAGTCTTTTCTAGTGGTTTCAAAATTATCAATTTTACAATTTTCAGAAAATTCTTATTATTCCAACAAAAAATATAAAAGAAATTCAAAATTTTCAAAAAACTCTATTATTTTTTAAAAATTTCAAAAAATCAAATTTTTGAAAGTTTTTAATTTTTTTTTTAATTTGAATTTTTTGTACGGGATGTTCCAGCAATTGCCTCAATACACGATGCCATGCACCACTAGTTATAATTTTCTTTCACTTCGGCTTTGACGTTGAGTTCTGGGACACCCTGTATTTTTATATAAATTTTTTATTATTTTTCAAGAAAACTTAAAAAAGTCCTTGCGTTGGTATCTATAAGTACTAACGGGGCTTAATTTTTACATGGGCGGACATGTTTTTAAATTTTGCAAATTTTATGCAAATTTGTTTAAAACATATTCATTACTATATATCATTTAAAAGCAGTCGAAATGCTGAAAAATATGATATACACAATATAATACAACACAAAGCAAAATATTTTTTAAAAGATAATTGTTTTCATCAAATCTAGTTTTTCAAGTTGCATTTTAATCTTTTTTACGGTGAACATAATTTTAAGGTTTTTTGAAAGCTTCTTACAAAACAATTACAACAAAGATGTAAAAACGAGGATAAAACATTTATATATATATATATATATATATATATATTAAATTTTTTTTATCTAATTTTGATGTTGAAATATGTGATATTCAGTTTTCAGGGCAACAATGTGTCGAAACGTATGGAAAAAATAAAAATGTTTTAAAGTCATACAAATTTTTTAATTGATGTTTAATGGAAGCCCTGAAAACTGAATATCATATATATATATATATATATATATATATATATATATATACACACATTCAGATATATAATTTTCCTGTTGTATCCTTAAGGGACCAAAACTATAGTGAAAACTTCATCAAAAATCAAGGACAAGGTAATTACAAAACGAATTCCCAGCATCATTCCGTTTCTGATCTTGGGAATTCTTCTACGCCTAGGTTGCTATTCGCGATGGAATTTAAAAATAAAATCTCATATGTGAGCTTTCGATTCACATGTAATTCTGAAATGTAACTAGTAATATATGGAATTGTGTTTTATAGCAAAATCTTGTAACTTCCCGTTCTACAAAGAAATATTTAAATTACATTTGAGTGAAACACGTGAGTGTTATCACACTCCTTTAAAATTTTGAAATCTTGAAAAAACGTACATGTACATTTTTGATTTATTTGAAGAGTTTGAAATTCGATCTCTTTGATTTTTTTTAATGCAACTGTGAGTTTGTTTGTTTCAATCTTTGTTTTTTTACATTCATATTTTTTGTGTCCTATTTTTTTAATATTGATTTCAAGTAGAGAAGTTATAGGAGTTTGTTAAATACAGAAACTTACAGGACTGTAATATACTTCCATACATGAAATTACTTTTACCTACGCTCTTCAATCCTTCCATGTGTGTATTTTACATATTTGCTGATATTGAAAGTTTTCATATTATCTCGCTATATCGAACGTCTTATGCAAACATCTATCAAGCTTTAGATATAATAACAATTTAACTTCTTTGTTGTCAAAGTTGTTGTAAATTCGAAAAGTTTAATGTTAAAGACGATAAGCGTCATTTTATGCTTCGTAGAAAAATCATAAGGTTAAAAACTTTTGTTAGTGCAAAGTGCGAGTTTATTTATGCGCAATTACTTATGACGTATATTATATATCGCTGAATATTTGTAAACAATGATAAAGGAGACTAACTAAATTACTGCCACAAATTAAAAAAAAAAGTTGAAGAAAAATTTTAAAACTACAAGTTTTCATAATTTTGAATTATTGATTTTTAGTGTTTTAGTATTTTCCAAATTTCCGATTTTCGACATTATTGTTTTTATATATGTATTTATATATATTAACAAAAAGAGACTAACTAAATTACTGATACAAATTTAAAAGAAAATGTGAAGAGCTAGTTTATATTGATTTAAATGAATGAATTTAAAATTTTTGATGAATTTTAAATCAATACATTTTTGGAAATATTTATAACAGAAAGCGAAGTTGTTGTTTATATTATATAAAGAAGAAGAACCAAATAAATCATTACTGCAAATGTTACATTACAAATTTTTAAAAATGTTTTATGTTTATATGATTATATTGTGAAAATTTTAAAACATACAAATTTTCAAACATTTTTGATGTTTATTTGATATAGTAATTTATTGGCCCATGGTGTTAATTCAAAAATCAATACATTTCTGGAAAAAGTTATAACAGAAAGTTGTTGTTAATAATTATATAAGAAAGAAGAACCAAACAAATCACTGCAGCAAGTTTTACTTTACAAATTTTATGTTTATTTGATGATATTGTACTTTTAGGAAATTTGATCTGCAGCAATACATGTTCTTAATAAAGATCTATTTAATAGCAGCAATGCAAATAAGAAATTTTTTTGATCAGGAATATCCAAAAAGGTGGATTCGACGATCGAGCGCTATTACTATCAGGATAATTGTTTTAATTTGGGCTTTCTCAAAGAGAAAGTTTATTCAGCCCATTCCAGTTCCAATAAATCAACACTAAACTAGGCCAAGATTATTTTTGCTTATTTGTGTAGAATTCGATAAAAATGGCGTCAATATCTCCGTCAAAATATGTCCACAATCCATATCTGATCAATTTACAGTGAAATTATAAATTTACCAAGGAATATATCAATCTGATAAAAATATAATGTTCTAACTTTGCAGAAAAATTAATATAAATCAACGGCTTAGTATTTGGCAAGATCAGTATTATAATTTTTTTTTTAAATTAATGGATTATGTAGTTTAATTTTTTATACAAATTTTGAAGACATTAGAAATTGAGAAACAAATATTTATTAGGAGCTACTGCTTTTAATTTGAATATGAAAATGTAGAATTCCAACTTTGCAGAAAAATTAATATAGCTGATAATCATCGGCTTTGTATTTGATAAGATCAGTATGATTAAAGCTTTTAAATAAATGGAATATGCATTTTTGTAACCATTTTTTTATAGAAATTTTAGAGATAGTTGGAATTGAGAAATTGATATGGAAATATAGTAGTAAATCTGCAAACTTTGCAGAAAAATTATTATTGATAATCAACGGCTTACTAAAATTTCTCAAATAATTTCTATTTGCTTCTCGACAACCAAATTTCATATCGTAATTGAGTAGTGAAATCCAGTTATGACATATCATAGTGTTACAAGCATATGTTTCCAAATCTAAATTTAGGTGTAATTAATTGGTAATTAATTCCGTAAATAACACGCAGTGACTTGCAATTGATCAATCATACGTCAATAACATTTTTCGGTAATTAAATGAGAAGGACACACTCGTATTAGGATTCTATTTCCTTGGACGTCTTTGGGGGTTCTCGCGTCCATACATCGGACACGTGTACGCGCCTCGTGACGCTACTCACTGTTTTAATGATGACACTGATGAATATTCAATGCATAAGCATTTACCATTCCGCTAATGTCATTGTGAGTATATTCAATGGTAATTTCAAATGTTCCATTGGTTGCGTAAAATATATAACATGCATTTATATTTTGAGTGGCCGTTTTTTACTTCTTCAATATCGTAAGCCGCATTACCGGTATCACTACTAGTCTGCGGATCGCACCGGTCGGCCGTAACCAAGAACTGAAAAGACAAGACCGAGCAGTGCGAGATGGCTCTCTTGCTGCGAATGGCCTGGGATGGCTGGAATTACCTGCACGAAGAAATGGCCGGTGAGTGGATTAATCGGATACTGGATTTTAAGGGATTAAGTGCAAAAAATAATGGATACATGCAGCGGATAGTGAAAAATTGTGCCAGAGATTCTCGTAAAAAGTGATAGTCGGTCAGAGCAATACTTCGAAATTGCAGTTTTTTTTTATTGAACAAGTGTATAAACATGAGAGTGCACAGAAACTGATATTTGCTCTTGCTACCCTTCACAAATCTAAATACCAAAAAACCTAAAATATTTTCATGCAGTGCAATTTCACCAAACCTTTATTACAAGTATACTTCACCTCCCCGTTTTCCTTTAATCTTTGTTAAAAACAAACTAATTTTCTATAATTTAGCGATAAATTTGCATTACCCAATGTATCTTATCAACATTTGTAGTGACAAACACAACGACACCAGGTCTACGTGATAAAATTTTATCACAGTCTTAATTAGTTCCTTCAAGGGCACTAAAGTTGTATTTTATTTTGCAGATCCGCGGACGTCAGAATGGCCGTTTATTGGAAGTTTATTTGGCATCGTAGGCATTTTGTCAGTATATCTATTATTTATTTTAAAATATGGCCCAGCCTACATGAAGGACAGGCAACCTTTCAAATTAGAAACTATTATGATGGTTTATGATCTAGTGCAAGTAGTCATATGCTTTTACATTTCTGCACAGGTAAATATAAATGAAGTATAATGTAAGAGTTATGATAATAATAAATAGTAGTCTGCTTGAAGGCAGGTCTATGGTATGAGAGCACCACAAATCAATGATTCCCTTTTCCTACCCTGTTTATTATCTCCTTTACCATTTTATTATCATTAATCACTGTTATGAATTTTCCTTTTCAAACATCTGTTTTCAGGCTTCCTGATCCTGTACTTTGGCTTTCTGTTTCCTGTATTTTCTCGTCTAGTCATTATAGTAAGTTCACCTCGGAATTCGAGATACCCAGCTGTAAGTATGTAAATACTTGTATATTGGCACCTTAAAGTTGTCTCAAAACCTACATATAGTATTGACATCCTACCATATGTAGGGTTTTGAGACAACTTTAGGGTGTCAATATACAAGTATTTACATACTTGCTGCTGGGTATCTCGAATTCCGAGATTCTTACCTAATTTAAGCTTGAATGACTGGACTATTTTGTGCAACAACCATTTGATTTCTTTTTTTTCCCAATCCTGTCAGTCTTTTTATTCTACCTTCCACGTCGTCTATAAGACACTCCTTTAGCAGAATGAATCTGATCCAGTTTTTTTTCCTTTCCAGGATCATGCTCAGTAAAGTCCATCCTTTGCCCACTCTTCTCAGGACAACAGAAGATTGGGCTCAGAATGGACTCTACCGAGCATGATCCTGAAAAGAAAAGGAAACTGGATTCTGCAAGAAAAGTATCTTATACGCGACGTGGAAGTATGCGATCATTCATTTGTTACCTTTTTTCAAAACAATTATATTATTATATGTCTTTTTCCAGTCTTTACGATTAACGTACCTCAATGGATATAGTTTCGCCTGCCAGCCAGTTGACTACTCCGATGACCCTGTCTCTTTGCAAATTGCATGGTTGACTTGGTTGTACTTCTTTACAAAGATCATGGATCTCTTCGACACAGTACGTACGATTCGATTATCTCCAGTTTAATTTAGTTTCAGTTTTATAGCTTTTGAATTTAACTTTATTCTCCCTGTTCTTAGGTTTTCTTCGTTCTGAGGAAGAAACAAAATCAAGTTACTTTCTTGCATTTATACCATCACACTGGAATGGTGTTCTTGGCATGGTTGGGTGTTAAATTCTTACCAGGTAATAATTAATAATAAACTTTTATTTTTAATAGCTTTTAATTTGAAACAACGTACAAAACTTCTGGGACGTGAATTTTGTTTATAATTTTTTACTAACTAAAAATTAATTTATTAATATACCTATTTAATATATTCTAAAGTAGTGCGAAGCGTTTAATTCTTTTTTTTTGAGGTAAATATTGAATTTTATTCGAGTATATCACATAATATTTTTACACTATTTATTATTCATATATTCCATCTGCAACATCAATTCTCAAAATTTATAATATATTTTTCCAATCTGAATATAGGGAATTTTTTTTATCATAATTTTTAGATTGTATTTTACTGAGTTTGCTTTAAAAAAGTTTTTCTTATAGACACGGTGATCATGAATGTTATTTTTTCTACAGATAATTTTAGTTTTTTAAAGATAAATTCCGTTCTTAAAGAAAAAAAAGTTTTAAGAAAATATTCTAATTGTGGGATCTAGGATTAACTTATAATCGTTTATGGCATATAAACCCTTTCTTTAATTTTAATATTTTTGGGATTTTCTTGAATTTTACATATAGCCGGACTGGTGAATATTGCCTTTTCTATAATTATTGTTTTGTTTTGTGGTTATATAATTTTGCGGTAATTGCTATAATAATCTACACATTTACTTTTGTTGTTATCAGGAAAATTGCATATAATTACTTTCAACTAGTCAAGTAAAAAATACTTTATTTAAATTTTACATATAGTTGTCACAGGGTGTCTCAGAACTCAACGTCAAACTGGGGGATTGTAACTATCATGAAAAATAATTAGAAAAAAATAATTTTAAAATTATGGCTATTTTTTGGTTATTGTGGTTAATTTTCATTATTTTTGTTAATTCTAACTTTAAAACATGTACCATTTTGCCATCTTGATTGAATGCGCGAATTTTTAACGGAACTTTCCAAGTCACTTTAGTATTAATTTAGGACAAATTTTGAAAATTAAACAAATAGTCTTAATTTAAGAAAACTTGGGGCACTTGTGTTATTATTTTTGACCAAATATGGTCATAGTTTCACTAAAGCTTTAGGATGTGTGATGTACTTGAAAGCTCTTAACTTTCAAAATGCTTGGGATAGTTTTAATGATCAATATTTTCACCCTGGGACACCTTGTATTCGTATATCCCTATATATTTAGCAGTTTTCATAAAATTTATTTCAAATATTTATTCACTATTTTTTATAGTTTTTTGTTTTTAATGAATTTTATAAAATTTGAAAACAGTCCTAATTTTAGAAATATTAGGGCACTTGTGCTGTATTTTTGTCCAAATATGGTCACAGTTTCATTAATGTTCTAGGGTGTATTTAATAGCTCATAATTTTCAAATTGCTTGGGATAAATTTAATGATCACAACCAACATTTTCACCCTGTACTCATATATGCTCATATATTTAGTAATTGTTTTGATAAAATTTATTTTAAATATATTTTATAGATTTTTATTTTCAATGAATTTTATAAAAATTACAATTTAAATTATGATGCAATCGTCAAAAAGATCAATATTTGAGATCGTGCGTAGTCAGTATAAAGTGATATAAAAATTTAACGATGATTAAAATGCTGAAATGGATGGAAATTTTTATCTTAAACGTTGCTACTAAATTTTATGTTTGCGAGTTTATTGTATTATAAATTTACTATTCTGTTATAGTTTTTGATTCTTAACACATTTTACAAAATTTTATCAGGTAACTAATTGATGATGCAATTGGCAAACGGTGATACTGCGAATGGATATTTGGGCACGTTCATAGTTAGTGCAAAGAGATATAAAATATAAAACTTAACGAATATTAAAAGGATGAAAATGTTTATCTCAGAACTTCGCTATTAAATTTAATGTCCGCGAGTTTTCTTTGAAACGTTTCAAAGGCGATCCGAATAATGATGTAATTAGCGCACTAATGTAACAGTGGAGCGCGAGGTGAAAACTAAGGAAAATGTTTGGAATTTTATTCTGTTACGTTTATTTTTAGGAAATAAAATACTATGCATGACGAACTATAGTTCATTTTCTCTCATTGCAATTTTTTTTTATTACAGGCGGGCACGGAATGGCTATCTGCGTCGTGAATTGTTTCGTGCATTCAGTGATGTACTTCTACTATTTCTTAACTGCAATGAAACCCGAACTAAAGAGCAACCCATGGTGGAAAAAGTACATTACGCAAATGCAGCTGGTAAGTAGTGAGCTTTTCCTAAAAAAAATTACTCTGAACGCACGCAACTTTGTTTGTGGAACAATATTGTGCTTGTTTTGTGTGTAAAAACTTCATCTAATTAACATATTGTGGGGATTCGAAAGGATGATGGTTTTATTTGTTACCGAACTTCGGAAAACACCAGAAAAAAGTTAAAAACAAGTTAATTGGAGAAAAATTGCCTGCATGTGAATAATCGGTTGAAATCAATAAGGAAATATAACATTTTTTGTCTACTGAAAATTATATTCTGAGTAAATTTTTTGGAAATATTTCGAAACAAATGAATAATAAATATTACATCTACGTTGTTCAATTCCAAAAGCATTTTTGACAAATGATGTTTGTTATATTTTTTAGACCCTAAATTTTTAACATTGCAAATACGAATTGCGTTTTTTTCACCTTTTATAAAATTTGGTCAGAAAAGTTATTGATTAATTTATATTATGCGTTTGTTAACCAAAAAGTTAAAAAATTGTGCATTCTCCTCGTGGCTGTAGCAGAACTTCTACAAACGTTCATATTCAGTATTTTTTAACAAAATAATATAAAGTTTATAATGCATTTTTAATGAAAAATTTAGAAATTTAACATTATATTCGTGTCTGTATTAAAACTTTTGATAATGATTTTTTTAACAAAATTATAGAATGTTTATTATGCTTTTTTGTAAACCAAAATTTAAGAAAATTATCATCCTCCGTGTGGTGTAGTAGAACTTATACAAACGTTCAGTATAAAATGAAATTTTTTAAAAAAATAATATTTTTATAAATGCATCAAAGAATTTTTTTTTCAAAATTTCTGGAAAATTCTATTTCTTATGTCACACATATATGACTGACATGACCCTTTATTGATTATTTTATTATATTAAAGCTTTTTTTCTCCCAGCCGTGTCAGACGTATGACTTATGTAGATATTTTTAGCGTCAGACATATATGACTGACGTGACGATTAACGTGTTAAACAATAACAATAGAAATGGTAGAAATAACAGAAATATATAGAAATTAATTATTAGAGACGTATGTTGGGATTAATTGACATTTTTGGATGGCTAACATTTGAATTAGTTTTTTTTTAGAATATTAGTTTATTGTTCACTTTTTAAAATTTCGTAGTTTTTATTATTCTTTTACAATAATCACTTGATCTGGTAATAAAATCCATAACACAGCGTTGAATTATATTTTTATAGCAATTTTGGATGGCTAATATTTGAATTCGTTTTTTTTTTTAGAAAATTTGTTTATTGCTTACGTTTTAGCGGTGAAAAAATCTATAACATTGTGCTGAATTAAATTTTTATAACAATTTTTGATGGCTAATATTTAGGTTCATTTTTTTCAGAAAATTTGTTCATTGCTCACTTTTTCACAGTTTCGTAGATTTTATTGTCTTTAAAAATCATTTGATTTGGTAAAAAAAAAATCCATAACATAGTGCTGAATTATATTTTCATAGCAATTTTGGCTGGCTTATATTTGAATTCGTTTTTTTTTTAGAAATTTTGATACTTGCTAACTTTTCAAAATTTCGTAGATTTTATTGTATTTTTTTTCAAAAATTTCTTGATCTGGTAATAAAATCCATATCCCAATGCTGAATTATATTTTTACAGCAATTTTCGATGGCTAATATTTGAGTTCGTTTTATTGAAAAAAAATGTCTTCATTACTCTTTACCGTTTCGTAGAATTTATTATCTTTTTTTAAAAAATTGCTAGATCTGGTTAAAAAAAGTTATGAGATATATTTTTATGTGAAATTTTTTAGAAAATTTGTTTATTGCTCACTTTTTAAAGTTTTGTAGATTTTATTGTCTTTTTTCAAAAATTACTTGATCTGGTAATAAAATCTATAACACAGTGATGAATTTTATTTTTATAGCAATTTTGGATGGCTAATACTTGAGTTCGTTTTTTTTTTAGAAAATCTGGTCATTTTTCAATGTTTACTAGATGTTAGTCTTCTTTCCAAAAATTGTTTAATTGGGTAAAAAAACTATATCGTTATTTTTATTTAAAGAAAATAAATGTTCTTAATAACCAAACATCATAAATAGAATGAAGTTAAAGTGTAACTTCTTGTGTGTGCAGTTAGATTTCAGAAAATTTAATTTTTGGAATTTTCTAAAAAAAAAACATGATTTTTTTGTCTTGTGTACAAATTCTGTTTCTAATTTTCTTATTGTGGCATCAAAGGGATAACGGTTATGATTGCTTACAACTGATGAATTCATTTATCATCTTTGAATAATCTCGCCGAACTTCGGTCAACATTACAACGCGTTCGAAAATTAAAAATGGCAAAAGCGCTAAAATACAAGTTAATTAAAGCAGTTGTATTAAATCAAGCAGAAGCAGTTTATTCAGGCGTACCTAGGTCGTGGTCTTTCCATTAAAAAAGTAAAGAATGAAATAAACTTTTTGTTTGCATTGCGTTATAACGTCTTACTTATTCAACAACGGAGAAGATTCTATCTCTTTACATTTTCTCTCGTACTTCAGAAATCGCGAAAATAATAATAAGTGTTTTTCGTGATGCGATAATGTATTCGGACGGCATTAAGTGAAATTTGTCAACCAGGAACGATTTTAATGTGTCATTCCTAATGAAATAAATTAAAAGCTATTTTAATAAATCTTTACTTTATATTCAAATATTTCCAAGAAAGTCTAATTTTCATTGTTGTGTTTTATGGTAATTTATTTAGAAGCTTTTTAATTTCACGTATTAGCATATGCACTTGAGTGATTTATATTATAATTAGAAAATTAGTCGTAGTCTAGTATTGTTCTTGAAATTCCTAATTACCATTAGCTGAACTTCGAAATACATGCAAATAACCTCCTGGTGATTATATAGAAATTCAACTGGCATAATCATCACTGGATATTTATAATTATAATTTAAAATTAATTGAAGTTCATCAAACCAGTGACAAGATATAAAAACTGACTTCACTTGATAAATTTTTGTGCATCACGTCTGTCTTGATATTGGGTTTAACGTCAAACGATGCTATTGTTTTCATTTTTCATAAACTAAAAGATCACCTGAACTCTCACCTTAAAAATAATAAGAATAATGCACAATTGAATAATGAATAACAATAAGTTGGCCTTTGGACTGCCCATGACTATTGGCTCGTTTTGTAATTGTTTTGTAGAAACAGCTATACCTTTACTCCGTACTTTACACACACACACACACACACACACATATGTATATATATATATATATATATATATATATATATAATCATTTAGGCAACCAATAAGAACCAGTAGAACGAAAATAATAATCAAATATGTAAATATTTAAGTGTACTAGTTTCGACACTGTTAGTAGGAGAAAATTAATAACAAAAACGCAATTATTGTTGAACATAGTTTTTTTTGTATTTAACACGTTGATTTTTATGTCAGTCATATGTGCCTGACACCAAAAAGTTTTGCATGACCCATGTCAGACTCATATGTCTGACATTTGCAGTTTCAAAAACTTGGTCCATCAGTAATAAATCCAAAATAAAAAAGTTTTAATGTAGAGTCATGTTAGTCTTATATGTGTGGCATAAAAAATATTGTTTTTCCAGAAATCCCGACAAAAATTTTTTTTTTGATACATTAAGATTCCTTGATACATTTGTGACTAAATTATCTAATAAAGTTATCATTGCTCATGTGCATTTCTTCCTGATATTTTTGTGACGATTAACGTTAAATAAAGTACTATGAAAAACAATAATTAAAAACTAAAAGCTCTAACGATTTATTGTTAAAACGGAATCATTTTCAAAAAAAAAAGTTTTTTGTTTTTAAATAAATTTCCTCAAAAAAAAAACAATAAATATAAACAAAAAACTCTATTTGTTGATAGTGTTTCTGTATTCAATTAATTTTCATCAATTGACTATTTAACAGCCAATATTCAACAGAGAAATCCACACATGCAACAGACAAAAAAAAGAATTGTTTATTCTAAATTAACATGTTTTTATTAACAAGCTTTTATTACCTAAAAATGTAAAATTTTGGTTTAAAACAATAGTTTATTTTTAATTTTATTTTTCCTGGCGAATAATGATGAGACATATTTTGTTCTCAAAACTGTAAAATTTGAAATACGTGAGAAAAATGGTCCATCACTCATATCTGAGAAACCAGTAAAGTTAGGAATTTTTTAATAACAATATTTGAAAGTAGAGGACCTGTTATCCCCCTGGTTGTGTCATTTTACTCCGCTTATGGTGTAAAAATGACCTGGTAACAAATTCTTGGAAAACAGTAAAAACACATTTCTACAATAATGAATTAGCTAGTTTTACTGAATATAGTCAGATAGTTGTTTGTCTGATGTGTGTTATTTGTTGTGATAGAATTGGTTTGGTTTTCTCAATATAATTTTTCAACGTCAAATTGGACCTTTGTGGCCCACCCTACCTTGTAAAGTATATTCTATTATTGTTACTTATTGTGTGTTGATTAATAAAATAATATCTTTTAACGACGAACGCAAAAACTAATATAATTTTTTTGTCAGACGTATTATCACTAACATTTATTTCTTACAAATAAAATAAATTCATATTCAGATGTCGTTTCTTCCGCTAATGTTTTTATTAGCCTTTTATTTATTTAGTAGTCCGTAATCTGTCAAATATACTTTGAGCTTTTTAAATCGGATTAAGATTTTCTCGGAAAACGTGAATGCAAAATTATATCTTTAAACTCTTAATTACGAGAAACCAGCTCGTTTGATTTTACCTTAAAACCGGTTTATTCATAATAGTTAACTATAATTTAAATACTTATAAAAATATGTTATTTAAAAAGAGAATCGTCTTTACTAAAATTAATTCAAAACGATTTCCACTATCTTTTGAACGTTTTTTTTATTTGTCCATATTGCCAGAGACAGTAGAATTTTGTATTATGGGGTGTACGAAAATTAATTATGTAAATAAG